CACACACACAGACTGTGACAGCATGCACACACACAGACTGTGACAGCATGCACACACACAGACTGTGACAGCATGCACACACACAGACTGTGGCAGCATGCACACACAGAAACTGGCAGCATGCACACACACAGATAGTGGCAGCATGCACAGGATCTGCACAGGTTCAAATCAGAGGAAGTTCCAACACTGAAAAACGGAGGTTGACACAAAATGCCACCCTTAACCAAGAATCTATTGGCAACTGATTACTGCTGGGAAAGGGAAAATTAGCTTTCTCCAATAGAGTAACACTGGGTATATCAACCACTCCAGGGCAGGCCTCATGACCAGTAGTAGTTAGACAACACAAATGGACTCCGTGTGTGTGTGTGTGTGTGTGTGTGTGTGTGTGTGTGTGTGTGTGTGTGTGTGTAAGGACTTCTTGTCTCATTCTGTTTTGGTATTTTACGTCTTGATAGGTTTGGGGGGGTTAATTGTAAATTTTTTAAATTTATTTTACGTACCAACCACAGTTTGCCCCTCCCTCCTTTCTTCCTTCCTCTCCCCCCATCCCCTCCTCAGAAAGGGGCAGAGCCCCCATGGGAGTCAACTAAGCATGGCATTGCAAATTGAGGCAGGACCAAACTTCTCCCCCCTGCATCAAGAGTGAGCGAGGCTTCCCACCAAAGAGAATTGGTTCCAAAGAGTCAGCTCATGCACCAGAGACAATCGCGGTTGCACTGCTAGAGGCCCCACAACAGACCAAGCTACACAAGTGTCACCCACATGCCAGGGGCCTAGGTCAGTCCCATGCAGACTCCCTGGCTGTAAGTCTAGACTCCTTTTGCTCCCCTGAGCTCAGGTCGTCTATCTCTGTGGGTTTCCCCGTCATGATCTTGACTCCCCTTGCTTATAAAATCCCTCTTCCCTCTCTTCAGCTGGACTCCTGGAGGTCAGGCCAAAGGCACAGAAAATATATTCAACAAAATCATAGATTTTCATTTTTGTTTTTGTTTTGTTTTTATTTTTGAGAGAGAAAAAGACATGAAGTTGGATGTATAGGACAATGGGCAGAATCTGGGAAGGGTTACAGTGGTGAAAGACTGTGATATATATATATATATATTTTGTGTGTGTGTGTGTGTGTGTGTGTGTAGGCTGATCTCCTAAATATATAAACAATTCAAGAAACTAGACATCAAAACACCAAACAATCCAATTCAAAAATGGGCTATAGAGCTAAACAGAGAATTCTCAAAGGAAGAATTTTCAAATGGCCGAAAGACATTTAAGGAATTGCTCAACATCTTTAGTCATCAGGGAAATGCAAATCAAAACAACTCTGAGATACCATCTTACACCTGTCAGAATGGCTAAGATCAAAAACACTGAAGACAGCTTATGCTGGAGAGGATGTGGAGCAAGGGGAACACTCCTCCACTGTTGGTGGTAGTGCAAACTTTTAAAGCTACTCTGGAAATCAGTATGGCAGTTTCTCAGAAAATTGGGAATCAATCTACCTCAAGACCCAGCTATACCACTCTTGGGCATATACCCAAGGAATGCTCAATCATACCACAAAGACACTTGCTCAGCTATGTTCATAGCAGTATTATTCGTAATAACCAGAATGTGGAAACAACCTAGATGCCCCTCAACTGAAAAATGGATAAAGAAAATGTGGTACATATACACAATTGAGTATTACTCAGCAGAGAAAAGCAATGACATAATGAAATTTGCAGACAAATGGATGGAACCAAAAAATACCATCCTGAGTAAGGTAATCCAGACCCAGAAAGACAAACATGGTAAGTACTCACTTAAAAGTGGGTACTAGATGTAAAGCAAAGGCTAACCAGACTACAATCCACAGCTCCAGGGAAGCTAGCTAACAAGGATGACCCTAAGAATGACATATGGATCGCCCTGGGAAGGGGAAATAGATGAAATCTCCTGAGTAAACTTGGGGCAAGGGCGCGGGGGGGGGGGGGGAGGAAATAGAGGGTAGGGGATGGGGCATGAGAACATAAGGGAACGGGATGGTCGAGCTGCAACAGGGATGGAGTGGGAGAGTAACGAGAGAGATACCATGATAGAGGGAGACATCATGGGGACAGGGAGAAACCTGGTACTAGGGAAGTTCCCAGGAATCCACAGGGATGATCCCAGCTTAGACTATTACCAATAGTGGAGAGGGTGCCTACCCCAGTAATATCTTGTCATCATAGAGTCTTCATCCAGTACTGGTGCAAGCAGATTCAGAGATTCACAGCCAAGCACCAAGCCAAGGTCCAGGACTTCAGTCAAAGAGAGGGAAAAGGGATTCTGTGAGCTAGGGGCATCAAGGTCATGATGGGGAAACCTTACAGAGACAACCGAACCAAGCTAGTCGAAACTCATGGAACTTTAGACCCGCAGCTGTGGAGCCTGCATGGGACTAGACCAGGCCCTCTGCATAAGCTAGACAGTTGTGTAGCTTGGTCCATTTAAGGGGCCCCTAGCAGTGGATCAGGATCTTTCCCTGTTGCCTGAGCCCATTACTTGTGGTAAGACACCATGCACAGCCTTGATGTGGGGGAAGTGCTTGGACCTGCTTCAACTGATGATACTAGGCTCTGCTGACTACCCATGGGAGGCCTTACCTTTGCGGAGGAGGGAATGGGGGTGGGTTGTTGGGGAGTAAGATGAATGGGGGAGCAGGAGGATGGATGAGGGGATCTGTGGTTGATATGTAAAATGAATAAAAAATTTCTTAAGAAAAAAAAACTCATGTTCCTTAGGGATCTGTGGTTGGTATGTAAAATGAATATAAAAATTCTTAATATGGAAAAAAATTTAAATTTAAAAATTAAAATGTATTTTAAATGCATCCAGGATATACTTGTATGATTTTTGAAAAGAATATACTAATTTTTTTAGTATAAGAGCTTTATATTGTGATTTTTGCCTGTTCCTTCTTTATATAGTGTTTTTAAATTTTGATATTATCATGCCCACTTCTAGACATTTTAGATGTACATTTTATTTATACACCATTATTATGTATGGTATCCATATAGAACTCAAAACTACAAACCTTTTCTATATTTGTTATCATTTTAATAATTTTTTAAAAAGTATTTATTTATTTTATTGGTGGTTTGCTTACGTGTATGTCTATGTAACTGGAGTTACAGACAGTTGTGAGCTACTGTATAGGTGCTGGGAATTGAACCTCCATCCTCTGTAACAGCAGCCAGTGCTCTTAACCACTGAGCCATCTTGCCAGCCCCCATGTTAAAAATTTTAACTGGACTTTAATGTGTACTGTTTAGTATTTAATACTTCATCAGAGTTTATGTGTTTAGTATTAAAACTATCAAAAAGGTTTCATCAATTTACTTGGAACTAGCATTTTGTGCTTGGTCACAAAAGTTTTTGCATTTGTAAGTATTCTGAAGAGTAAGGTATACATGATAGGAACAGTTGTCGGGTATCTTAGATTTAATCTGATTTGATGAGATATTCTAGAATAGCTCAGTTACACCATTGTGGCTATTGTGAGTGAGTGGTTGATGCTAGGAAGTCACCAGTGAAGGACTGTGTCAGACTCCATGCTAGCCATTGCCTGCTTTAACCTTTAAACTTCGGTGTGTACTCCCGTAAATACATCTCTGTGGCCTGTGCTTGCTGGCCCTGACACCTGTGGACACTGCAGTGGCCTCCTATGTCTGAAATCATGTGCTGTACTAAAATCAAGACGTGCTGTCATGTCTTTCTTAATTTGACTGCAGTATTTAGAGATTGTTTACAAGCATTTTTAGCTTCACAGACTTTGTTTATTTTGTTATATATTATGTTATACATAACAGACACCTTAAGGGGGCTTTTTAACACATTCATGTGAGTTTTTTAAAAATATGGATGTTGGGGGAAAATACAATGTTTCAAAATAATATGTTTCACTATCTACAGATAAATAATTATACATTTGTAGTATAGATAGCTTTTATTTGTAAGCCATTAAATTACTTTAAAATTAACTTTTTTAACTTATGGAGTAACTTAAAATGTATGAAGTCCTGAAACACTAATTTCTAATTTCAATAAAATATGACTTGTAATTTTTTTTTTACATTACAATCATTTATTTTAAAAAAAAACTTTGTAAATCAAATTTGGAATTAGGATGAATTTAAGGCTCTTTTTTGAAATGAACTTAAGATGCCCAAATTGACAG